CTGCTGGTTGAAGGTCAGTGGTGGCTGATGGTTGGCTGTGACTTTGATTTTCATYATTATTGGGAAATAATATCTCTGTTATTTCGTTTTAGGTGTTTGTCGGCATGGTACGAATTTCCTGTCGGATTTTCAGCCAAGGTTCTACAAGTTGCGAATGCAGCTTCTTCATAAAATCACGCCTAGGCAGTATTTTTTCACCCTGTACCGAGACATTGTGGCAATAAAGTATGTAGCTGTTGATGCATGCTATACTCATCATTCCATAGAAAACGCACATTGGCCATCGATTAGTTTTTCTGCTGCATGACATTACAGAGCACATTTGATCAAATGTGTCAACGCCACCTTTTGTAGARTTGTAGAACTCTATCATGCATGGTTTTTTATTATCTGAATTAACTGAGGCTTCCTCATCACAAGAGGAAAGCATGTTAACCGTTTTTGACGGTTTAGGTTTGAAGGAAAGAAGTGTAAGGGGTGCATCATACACGAACATCGATGTATTCACCTTTCTGGATGYATTGACTTCGGTGGTTTGATTATTCCTCTTACTCTTTTTCTTGTTCTTCATTTCTTCTGGAATTTCCCTTTTATTAGCTTATAAGGCTGCTGAAGTAATTGTTTTGTTAGTGGTGTTGAGGTAAACCAATTGTAAATAGTAACGTTTCTGTTCGTGCCGTGAATACTACGAGTAAGTTCCTTTACGAAGTACTCTCAGAAAGGCATCCCTCCARTATTGGTTCCTTTTCCGAGATATGGTATACAGTCGACCATATACCTTGTGCCACTATCACACATCATTTCTAACTTGACCCCATACTTGGCGGGTTTATTTGGTATATACGTTCTGAACTTGCAGCTGCCGCGGAAAGCCAGTAGCTGCTCATCAACAGTAACATTTGTTCCGTGTACATATTTGCACACTCCAGTTGGAAAGCTAGCAGAAAATCCGCTGGAATAGTGGAACAATTTACAAACATAATTTCCTAAATTAAGTAAAGTAATTTTCAAGTACTTAACAATTGTTGCTCCAGAATTAGAATTAATGATGCTAGTTTTTTATATCCTCTGAAGTAAAGTGTATTCGACTGAAAACGTTCTGTGCTCACCGGAACAAATGGTAGTACGAAAGTCTTGCAACACGAAGGCGGGCGTATAGTCGCAAATTCCACACATTTTTTGGTTAATCGCAGTCTTTAGTTGGAGGATTTGTTGTGAGCACCTTCCCCATTAATAGTTTAACGCGGTTTTAACAGGTGATACAAGTCACGTGTGAGTCATGTCAAGCTGTCATCTTGTTTTATTCAATATTGTTCGGCATTTCGTAATGGAAGGACGCCTCAACGGTTTGTAAGTATTGTAAATTCGCTCAATTTATGGTCGACATATCATCACACATCTTGAGACCCAGCAGCCATTATTGAATAATATTGAACCGAATAGACCACGCCCACAACGCAGTGAAAAAAAAAAAATCGTTGCTAAGAGTCTACACGAAGACCGTGGAGAGTCGATTCAGTGCCTTTCGCAGCAACATTAACTGACATATGGAATGACTTTTCGCATTTTACATCAAGACCTTAAATTGAGAACGTACAAAATACAGAACTGAAGCTGCTCGACCTTCACAACTACTTCGCTTTGCTCTACGAACTCTTAAAAAGTTCCAAGAAGAAGCTTATAATACAGAGRAGTCTTTTCTCATCTCACTTAAATTCTGAGCATTATTTAAGCGTTATGAATACCGGTAAAAGTTTGGCTGGTTGTTTACGTTTCACATATCTTTCTATTACCAGTAACGTTTCAAGGAAAACCGACTTCTTTTTGTAGTATCCAAAAAGTTTTTGTAACGGAAAAACGGCATTCAATGTCTTTTGGATTCAATTCATTCTCCACAAAATGTCCTTGCTTCTGAATATATCCAGGTATTTTAACCTTTTCAAAATGGCTGTTAAATAGCTTCAAAGAATTCTGCTCTTCTTTTGCCTTTTAATAAGCGTCCTCACCGCGTAGTACCTCCAGTTGCTCATCTTTAAACCTTGGCTTTGTACATTTCGTTGTATACTTTTGCAAAAAGTTGCTACTAAAACTAATGCAGATGAACATATATAGGATTAAATGTAGATATAAATGATCAGGATGAAGGGTTGAGTGAAAATCACAAATAAAGACGTCTGCAGTTTAGTCAGAATTAAAAAAGAATCGTAGGCGCGCCATCTGTTACAAACTTTAAACCCAATAAAATACGAAAACGCTTTATAGAAGCCGCTGTTAAAATAATCGATTGGTGCGCCACCGACCACATTTAGGTAAAAACTTTCCACTAAACAAACCAACTTTGCACAAATTCAAGTCTAGGACTGTCACAATCGGACCAACACTGTTTAAACCACCAGTTACTGAATATGGGACCCTAGTCCGTATTGCGAACTTATCACTGGATTGATCTATACTTATATTCGTTATTACAATTCAAAGTTAAATCCTTGTAGTAAACCTATATATCAAAAATGGGTAGAATCGGATCAATAATATCCTTAGTTCCCATATACCTAACAAAAAAATTGGTGAAAATTATATAACTAATATCGGAATTTAAAGTGTAGGTTGGCTTTATGTAGTATATTATTTGTGATGTAATGTAAATGAAACTCGAAGATAATCTGTTTCTGTTAAGAATATGTGGTAATGTCAAAAATAGCTAATGTCAAATACGTACATACAATAAGATTTGAATTTTGTCGGTTTGCTTTACATCGTAAGATATCTTAGCTAAATTAACCGAGCGTATAATATTCGATATACGAAGGGCTACCATATTCCCTGATTTGTCAGGGAATTCCCTAATTTTCATTATTATTTTTTTGAGCGAGGTCGAGAAAAAAGTAAGCATTACAGCGTTTTAGTCTACTTGGGCGTTTTGAAATTGGGCGCCACGCGTACGATGCATTTACATGAATCATATCATTCATGGTTGCGTTAAAAAAATTGACCGAGTTCAACTCGTGCAGGTTTTGTTTGGTACAAAATTCCTGTGCGAGTTGAATCATATGTTGAGACGATTCAGTTTTTACATTCGAAAAATGTTCATATTGACGAAAATAAATTGATCCATAAGTTGGCAAATTTGAATGCGATTTCTTGAAATCGAAAAAGAGGACCGGGAAATATCAGACTACTTTTTTGCGTAATCTGTTAACGACCAGCTCCGACTGTCTCCATTTCTTGAATATATAAGTAATGCTAAGATACCACTATAGTTAGAAAGTGTAACAACGCATACAGATTAAATTGTTAATAAATCCAATTAGATCCGTAACTGAAAGTGATAAATTTGAAGAGACGCGGTGTTATAGAGAACTTACAGGGTTTGTCCGGAAAGTAATAGGACTGATTTTCTTCCGCCACGACTGTATTACGGAGCGTGCCCGCACCGACTGGATTCGGAGAGGGCGTTCCCAACTAACAAACGAGCATCTATCAGTTGTCTCAGAGAAAGTCAGTAACTCTGCGACAGAGACATTTGTTTTATGAAACATGTTGCTTTAGCAAAAATGGTGTATTTAGGTGGCACCAGATCTGTTTTGAGGGCCGGGTCAAGACAGTGCTGAGAGAACTGCGACTTTGACAAACACCGACAATGTGACTCGTGTGCGCAAAATTTTGAATTCAGACCGTCAGCCTTGTGCAAATACTATTTATAACTAAGTTTTTTGTCTATGCGATATTCTATTACTAATTGGAAAATCTTACAACGTCGTCGTGCGACGATTGAAGCTCAAAGCTAAACTTGATCACCGGCAGTGCAATTGGGAGAAGAAGCCAAATTTACCGACTACTGCATCGGAAACGTTGAAGAACTGCGATGTAAATCTATACCCCATAACTCATAGTTTCGTTCGCTTATTCTGCACACTTCCTGTGACAAAGGATACTTCGCAGCATATGAACGTGGTTGAGGACGAAAATGCATTAAGATAGATTGATCGGCCTGSCGTTGCTGCACACGCACCACGGCATTGAAGTAACTGTAAAAGAAGTTCTCGAAAGATTCTCAAAACTTGGCCCACAAGAAATTCAATACACCAACTGCATTATATAGTACAATGCAATAAAATTTGTCACCCGCAAGTCTACGATTTGAAATATGTTTAGAAGATCACAACTGGGGAACCAATGGCTTCTACAATTCAGAAAGAAGAACAGTAGGCACGATGGATTGAGAGACTCCGACTCTAACTAAAGAAAAAATAGCTGCAGAAGCACAGTTTTAAAGACACACACAGTGAGCACAATAGAATAGTTTAAAGCTAGATGCTTGCATCGCGTATGGGAAAGCGAAGGTAGGCAACGTTCTCTAGATCTTATGCTTATTCCGAAAATTAGAATACCCCAAGTTTTCAACGAGCTGCGGAACAAGTTCATGTGGAAATCACCAAAACATTTGAAAGATTAAACAAATATTTTTATTGGGTATCGTTAATTAGTTTCAGAGTTTATCGCCAATTGCAACGAATATATTGTAATTTAAGGGCGGGGGTCCAACAGTCATGAGTAGTGAGTCATTAGTAGATTTAGGAATAAAATGAAAGTAGTTCATCTGTAACTGCTTGCAGTATTTGGTACCACAAAAATGTCTAATCGGGATGAACAGACTGAAATGGAGGGTAGTTTGGTGATGAAAAAAAAGAGCAAAATACAATACAMAACAACAGCGAAACTAGTTAACGAAATTCGTAGTTGCCAGGATGTTTGAGTGGCGAAGTTTTACTTATATAAAAACTGCCAGATTTTGCAGTAGAGACAGTTCTAATTAGAGAGTTTTTGGAATGATCATAATAAGAGTTAAATTGTTTCAATAAGAAATGAATAATCTAGTGATCAAACTCAAGAGTGAGATATTATCAAAATGTATATAAAATATATAAACATTTATTTAGCATATATGTATGTATATGCATTAAATATTAAATAGTAAATATGATTTCGTTTTTGTGAAGGTTGACCTACGACATATGGATGAACAGCAGGGTAATAACATTGTAGATGTCGGAGTAGATCTATCTGAGTTCTATATGTCTGTGGAGTGGGATATACTTGAAGTTCCAGCCGTCAGGTAAGCTATCCTATTAAAAATGTTGAAAACTACTAAATAAAATATTTCCTTTTAAAGAAGTCTTAAGTAATTCCATCTGATTTTATTACACTTTGCGAAAATTCATCCAGATGAAAACGACATATGGTATTTAAGCGTTCTTATTAAGTAGGTTGGGTCGATTCCGGACCTTATTCGATTCGGGATTTTTAATAGGGCGGAAAAGTTGCCTTAGTACTTACTGATCCCAATGCAACTTTTTGTTTTGAGATCAGATTACATCTTCAACCCCAACTCGGGCATTGAAATTTTGGAATTTTGGAAAATACGCATCTCATGGCAAAATTTATAAAACGAAAGTTATTTGTCACGTCATTTGCTACCGAAATGGTATGTGATCATGGCCGTAGGACGAACCGTTCCCGAGATACGAGCGAAAATGCGGCGCGCCACAGCGCACGGTGRAAATCGGCTTGCGGTCACACTTCCTGACGTTTATTTCGCCGAGTGCTATCACTCACATTCATTCACCTACGCCAAAGTACACGTTCGGATAGGTCTCCACACAAATATTTTTTCATCGAGCTCCTTCACTCTTGTCAGTGATTATCACTTTTATTCTCTCAACAGAACACAGAACTCAAAATGTCTGTATCTAAATTTAAATTTAGACAGAAATGTCCTGAGTTTGGCATATATCCGTACAATCTCTCTGAGTCCCAATTACCTACTTACCAGGATGATCTTTTGTGTTATCAGTTTGAAAGATTTCGTATAGGGCGACTCCAAGGCGACAACTATGAACCTACGTTACAGAAATAGTTGCAAAAAAGGTTGAAAATACTTTCAAAAAGTCATCTATTCTGACAGTTTCACACATCAGAGTTGTACAAATGCTCACCACATACCATAAGAAATTTCTGACTCTTAAACAAATGTTTTTAAGGAACCCAATAGGTTTGAGCTCTAAAARAGACGACTTGGTCTCTTCTGCCGGAAAACTATTTGACATCGCTGCTTGTAACTGCATTTATTTTTATACTCTCACAACAAAGTTGCTAAAGCGAGTATTATAGTTTTGTTCACATAACGGTTGTTTGTAAGTCCTAAAACTAAAAGAGAGGGTGACGAGTAGAGTTGAAATGTCGGTCTGTCCGTCCGCCCGTGCAAGCTGTAACTTGAGTAAAAATTGAGATATCATGATGAAACTTGGTACACGTATTTCTTGATTCCATGAGAAGGTTAGGTTCGAAGATGGGCAAAATCGGCCCACTGYCACGCCCACAAAATGGTGGAAACCGAAAATTTATTAAGTGTCATAACTAAGCCATAAATAAAGATATTGAAATGAAATTTGGCACAAAGGATCGCATTAGGGAGGGGCATATTTGGACGTAATTTTTTTTCTGAAAAGTGGGCGTGGCCCCGCCCCTACTAACTTTTTTGTACATATCTCGAAAACTAGTATAGCTATGTTAACCAAATTGTATAGAGTCGTTTAGGCATTTCCATATACAGTTCAAAAATGGAAGAAATCGCATAATAACCATGCCCACCTCCCATACAAAGGTTAGGTTGAAATTCACTAAAAGTGCGTTAACCGACTAACAAAAAACGTCAGAAACACAAAATTTTATGGAAGAAATATCAGAAGGAAGCTGCATCCAGGCGTCGCCCACTTAAGGACCATATCCATATCTCAGGAAGTACTCAACCGATTTTAGCCCTTCCTTACTTGTTCTTCTTGCACTTGTCCAAAGGAAAGGAAAGCTCCTATCAATGAACAACCATTTCTCTTGGACCAGAGAACCAGAAGAATTGGTCGCATTGGAAGTGTTGATCTACCTGAAACAAAAAAGATTACAAAGAAAAATGAATGTAAAGAAAAGCTTTGAAAACGTCATTCAACATCAACACTTACCAGAAAAGTGTCAGCTAGAACACGTGACCATTCAGATCAGCCAGACTCTCATACAGACGACAACAATGTAGGTGAGTCGCACATGGATTCCTCCAAAAACGATGCTGATGATGATTTAGCGTCGATGCATCCAGGTAACGTGTGCAAATCTCACTGGCTCACCTGTGCAAATTGAATTCTGAGATTTTACATTCCTACTGACAAACCAACAGAGGAAATAAAGACATTGGTCAGGTACATACTTACAGTTTACTCACCTTTGTGGTTCTCAATAATATTCAACAGTTCAATCCACAATGGCTCGTGCCATCTCTATGCTGAACGTCGATTCATCCATTCAACAGAATGCTTTCTTTGCCCTTCCGGAAAACATTCTCCTTAGTATGGTGCCAAAACTGAATTTCAAAGCTAATAATTATTACGATATGATTAACTGGAAGACTATTATCTTGACTGTTCCACTAGTTCTTTGTTCAGTTTCTAACGAAGAACTCATAAAAGGGCGGTCGGGAGACGCTGCAGAGGWATGGAAATTTAGTGAATTCCCCTCTCACACCGTGGCAGTCGAGAGAACCGTCAAACTGGTGACAGAGGCATCTTCTAAAGTTATTGGCCCCCAATCTTGTGATCATTTTACACTGAAATCTACACTGAAATTTAGGCAACAAATGCCAAAGTACAAAACCTGATTTTATCAATAAATTTGACACAGATTCAGACTAAAACATGCCTGAAATATGGTTGGTTGGTTGGGTTGCGCTTGGGAGGAACCCAAAGAGCAGCCACCTCCACCCGGTGGGTTCTGGGTGATCAATACAGGTTAGCTGAGAGCTGCAACAATTTTCACATTGCGCTGTGGCGCGCCGCATTTTCRCTCRTATCTCGGGAACGGTTCCTCCTACGGCCATGATCACATATACTATATCACTCGGTAGCAAATGACGTGACAAATAACTTTTGTCTTATACATTTTCCCATGAGATGCGTATTTCAGGTGCTAGATAGACAATTTCACGATTTTTGTCGAATTTTAGGCGAATTTTCGAAATTTCAAGGCCGGAGTTGGGGTTGAAGATGCAATCCCATCTTAAAACAAAAAGTTGCATTGGAATCAGGAATTACTAAGGCAACTTTTCCGCATTATTAGAAATCCCACCCAACTCTACACTGGGTGCTATTAAATTAGTGAAATTTGACATAACTTTTAAACATGTAAAAAAGATATTCCCTAATAATGAGAAGGCGGTGAAGTGAACACAAAGTTCTTATGTTAGATTTATTAAACCAACTAAAACAATAGGTGAAACGCAAGTAACTAATTTGATACATACATATTTGGCCATATACACGTGGATATTGCATATTGAAAGCCCATTTTCGGCCGCAATACCCCTTGTTCTGTGCCAAACAAATACAATTATGCATAAAAAGAAAAGAAATATATTAGCACAATAGTTTAGTGCATATCTGCGTACAAAACAGCGAATTTATCTCTTCAACGAGCTCTCAATTGCTTAACCCTCCAACAGGCAAGGCCTTTAATAAATTGTCACAAACTCATAAGAAATTTGTCTACAAATGTTATAAGAACCGTTAGATAACACATCAACTCATGTTTCCTTAATATCAACTAAAGTATTGTGACGTTTCGTTTTTCTATTATCGTTAGTTGATTGCAGAAATTCAGTGATAAAGTTCAATAATTTCCGGCGCCGATTTTAAAATTTTCAAAGTTAAAATAAAAAGTGATTTATCGAAATATTCGTACGGAAGAATTATTTTGTGAATAAGTAAGTTAATTCGTTTTAAGATACTATACTTTTTAATAAAAAATAAAAAGTATGCCAAGTTTTAAAAACACAAACACAAAGACCGCCAGGGCAGCCTTTCTTCCCCCGGCGGGTACAGCGAAATTTGCTTGCTAGTATTTTTTATTTTATTTATTTTTAAGAATGCAGCATAAACGGCAGTAAATTTAATCTAAGTAAACTTAGTGATGAAAACTTGCTCCAGTTAATGCAATCAGTTAAAATAGGCGAGGACGATAGTGATTTTAACTTCTTCTTCTTAATTGGCGTAGACACCGCTTACGCGATTATAGCCGAGTTAACAACAGCGCGCCAGTCGTTACTTCTTTTCGCTACGTGGCGCCAATTGGATATTCCAAGGGTTGGCAGGTCCCTCTCCACCTGGTCCTTCCAACGGAGTGGAGGTCTTCCTCTTTCTCTGCTTCCCCCGACGGGTACAGCGTCGAATACTTTCACTGCTGGAGAGTTTTCGTCCATGACCTAACCAGCGTAGCCGCTGTCTTTTAATTCGCTTAACTATGTCAATGTTGTCATATATCTCGTACAGCTCATCGTTCCATCGAATGCAATATTCGCCGTGGCCAAGGCGCAATGGACAATAAATCTTTCGCAGAACTTTTCTCTCTTTTTTCTTGTTGTCCAAGCCTCTGCACCATATAGCAGGACGGGAATTATCAGTGACTTAAAGAGTTTGGTTTTTGTTCGTCGAGAGAGGACTTTGCTTTTCAATTGCCTATTCAGGCCGAAGTAGCACCTGTTGGCAAGAGTTATCCTGAGTTGGATTTGCAGGCTGATGATATTTTTGAGGTTTATGGAGCCTAATTACCCTATAAAAAATTCCCAAACTTTTCTTTCCACGATTTTAGTTTTGTCTGTTAGAGGGTTAAGAACAAAAACATAATCGTAAAATCGTAMAAACAATTTATGCATATATCACTTCAACGACATAAAAAGCGCATTGATGTCTTCAACGAGTTCTCAATTGCACAAAACATAATTAGGCATACATAGAAATCCAAGTATTAGGGTGTACCTATATACAAACATAAGGATATTAAAAGTATACATAAAGAAAAAGAAAATAAAGTAAATAAACAAATTAAATTTACAATCACAAGAACTAATATAACAAAATATAACTATCCTGCATGCGGCGTATAACCATTAATTTGACCGGGACGATGTGCAGGATCGTCTAATTCTCATCTGGATACGCTTCATTTATTTGATCGTATCTTGGCATGTAGCGAATTCCTTTATATACTTATTATACATTATTATTATTATGTGAAGTGTCAAAATTAATCCTTTTTAATAAATTAAGTTGTAAATTAAAATATAAGAGTACCTTTTTTTGCCCCCATTTAATTATAGTCCTTCGAGCCTTAACGAAAGGCACCTGTGGGTTTACAAACAAACAGACATATTAAAATCAAAAATAATTTTGGTGGCAAAGTGCCGTGGGGAAAACCAGAACACAAAGTGCAGTGACTCAAATAGAAAAAAAAAATATATACTTAGTAATACAAAACTAACAAAAAAGGTGAAGTGACTAAAACTAAAACAAATTTCAAGAAAAATTAAAACAAGAAAAAAAAGGAATTGTGCGGTGAACAAAAATCAAAAATAGCAGTACAGTGACACCAACAAAAACAAAGAAATGAAAAATATGTCTATATACATTATGTAACACAATGTACGTACATACATGCMCATACTTGTGCTCACATAATCAAGTCACATAAACATTATGGTGAACAAATTCTTAAATGTTGAACTTTATTAATAAAACGAAAAAAAAGTTTCACAAATTTAAAAGCAATGACTTAAACTTTATTGTGACAAAAACAAGAGAACAAAAGGAAAATAGTGCAATGACACTCAAAGTATATCCATATACATACATATGTATATATCAAAAACAAATTGACAAGTGGACGAAATATAGATAAAATTTCAAATTAAGCAAAAATAAAAACATTACCATAACCTAAAAGAAAAAATTATATTATATAAATCAGTGTAAAGAAACAAAAAACAACACAAGCCTTGCCCGAAATCACCTAACTAAAACTTGTATAATATGTATGTACATAAATACAATAAACAAACGGGCGCGAACTTAATAACAAATAAACACACCTACCAACAACAACACGCACAAGAAACCAGGCTGCTGAAAGACTGAAGGAAGACGAGGAATACAGGAATTGGCGATAAAACTCGCACACACATTTCCACATATTATCCCCCTTAGAAACCCTTGCGAGAAGATAAAGTGAGTTGCATCGTTTCCATTTATTATTGTTGCATATAATGCACGTTTCTATGCCTAAAGTTACAGTTTTACATATGTAATCCTACATAAAACCTGTAATAAAAAATCCGTTTGGTTAATACTATATATCAAAACTTTCCAGAAAAAATCAAAGTACCGATTTAAAATTAATATAAATACATCTCCAAATATTTAGGTACATAAAATTGATAGCCTTATATGCTTAACTTTGTGTTTCCAAACTCAATGGTTTAACAAACAAAATACAAACAATTCAAATATTTACTTGCAATTTTCCAGCATACCTCTTATGTTTCACAGAAACAATAAGCAGGATTGCATAAGCAAGGGCATAAACAAAAGTTAGAATTATAACATAAAAAACAAGACAAGAGAGGCAAAAAATAAAAACATAGATATAAGCACCTTTACATTTTTTCAATTCCGTCTCCGCGCTCTCTTCTCAGAGCGAACATAAATATATATAAATAAATATATTTGTACATATAATCATACGGCAAAGAATCTGCCAGTGACACTAAACAAAATCTCAAAATATTACATATTAACACATATTAGTACAAACACATATTCTAAGTCCACATTGGCAATTATCTGTCAATACTTCTTGTTCCTTGGCAAACAAAAACAAGCAGGATTGTATACACAAAAAGCGAGTTTATCTCTTTAACGAGCTCTCAATCGCATAGTCATAAGCACACAAACAATTCKTGCATACTTATGTAAGCTAATAAAAGAAATAGCACCTACTCCCCACAGTAGAGTAGAGCTGGCACAAATTGACAGTCAACATTCAAGTTCAGGCATCCACCTCGAGGTGCCCGCATGTGACATAGAAACATTCTATGGAGGTTATGAAGAATAGTCGTCCTGCCGGGACATGTTTACAGAAGTTTACCTCAATCATCCACAAATACTAAAAGCGCAAAAATTGTACCACCTCCGATACAAGACAAAAGTTCAAGCAGGCGTCATAGTAAAACAGTTCGCTCTTAATGACGATAATTTCAATTTGGCTTGGGAAGCTCTAAAAAAGAATACTGTTCGACAAACAAGTAATGAACTAATGAACTTGCCAAAAATTAAGAAAGAAACAAGTTTAGAATTCATCAAACTATAATCCACTGCTTCCAATTGTTGTTCGATTTTATCGACACTAAATATTCCCACAGATAGCTGGGACCCAATTCTGGTAAGCATTTGCATCACCGCATTACCAGAAAAGTCGTTACTTCTATGGGAGCAATCGCTCTCATCACGAAAAAAGTGCCCAACGTGGCAACAAATGAAAGATTTTCTCACCACCCAAGATGAAATTGCGGAAAGGTTAGAAGAAAAAAAATCCAAACTAAGAACATTAAACATGATCAAAATGGAAGCTTAAATAAACCCCAAGCTTGAAGCAACAAAAATTTAAACAAAAAATTTCACAAAACGCAATCGTTCACGTCTGAACAACGAAAACGTACGTCATGCGAACTTTGTAAAAGAGGACATAAGCTTCAATCTTGCGAGAGGTTTAAAAACGTAAAAGTTAACGAACGAAATAATTTTGTCAGGTCAAAAAGACTTTCCATAAATTGTCTGTCACATGCGCATACATATAAAAATGGCAAAAGCAAATTTAATTGCTTACATTGTCACAAAAGACACCATTTCACTCCAAAGAAGCGCTTATACAAAAAGAACCACGGGTTTGATTGCATAAGCAAATCCCAAAATCCGAAACTCTAAATATTGCCAAGAGACACCATGTTGCTCAAAGGCACAAAAAGCTCAAACGCTGCACAGTGAAACACAAAAACTAATTATAGAATTAATTACCACCATGACAACTCAAGTTGAGAAAAAACCAAATCAATACCTTAATTCACAATTAGGGAAATTTCAAGAAATAGGGAAACTTCCCCCAATATTGTATAAAAAAGAACAGTATTGTAAGGGCTTCTCTAAAGCCACAACGACTCGATCCAATAATGGCCGGTACGTCGTACGTCTACCACTTAAGCCATCATTTTCCAATCCTCCACAAATTGGTATAAAACACAAAATCAGAGTTTGCTCCGACAGTCCCTACACATACAACTTTTCGGCCCCGCAGGTTGGCTTTCACCAAAAATGATACAAAATCCTGAGTCAAAAATCTGAAGTAATGTTGCGCGCTACTAAACGCCAACTAAGTGCATATGCATTTAAACATAAAATATAACAAAATTGTCTCCAAAAGTCGAAAAATCTACACATTTTTTATAATATTGCCCCATAGAGTCAAGAGAGAGGAAATTAAGGGATTGTTTATGCGACCTCAAGGCATCCCGCTTCTCCACGCAGCATTCATCACCMAACTCACATTAATCACCCCACACAACATTAATCACATCATTCACATTCAGCACACAACACAACATTCATCGCACAACCTACATCATCATACCACGAGTTATATGGTCACATCAACACCCACCAAAACCCGGAAGACACCAATCAAATGAGTCAGCAATATATTAAATTTATTTTCTTATTGTAAAATTTTCATTTGAAATTTAAATAGTTTAAGTCAGTAATATAAAAAACATTATTTTCTTACAAGCTGAATTGTGTTCGTATTCATAAATTGCTGATAAAGTTTTTCCCTTTAATTTTAATACTTACTTCGAGTTATACCTGTCTCTTATACACATCTAGATGTGTATAAGAGACAGGTTCTGGGTGATCAATACAGGTTAGCTGAGAGCTGCAACAATTTTCACMTTGCGCTGTGGCGCGCCGCATTTTCRCTCRTATCTCGGGAACGGTTCCTCCTACGGCCATGATCACATATACTATATCACTCGGTAGCAAATGACGTGACAAATAACTTTTGTTTTATACATTTTCCCATGAGATGCGTATTTCAGGCGCTAGATAGACAATTTCACGATTTTTGTCGAATTTTAGGCCAATTTTCGAAATTTCAAGACCGGAGTTGGGGTTGAAGATGCAATCCCATCTCAAAACAAAAGTTTGAGTTAATTAAGGCAACTTTTCCGCACTATTAGAAATCCCGAATCGAAAAAGTCCGGAATCGACCCACCCTAGTATACAGTAACACTTGCCTGAACGGCAGAAATATTTTCATTACTTCGAGCATTTCTTTGTGTTATTGTTACTGGATATTAAACAAAACAACATTTCGAAAATTGCAGAGCACAGGTGGACAATTATTACAAATATAAAATGGTAATAGCGCACACAAAAATAAAATTGGAGAACGAATATTTTGATTATAAATTGAATAATTTGTAGACGTTGTTCTTGCGTATGCCTTTCCATGATGAAATTGTGAACATCAGTGAATACAATGAAACAAAATTACAGATTACGGCATATTAGGAATGGCTGAAACGTCGGAGAAAAGACCCGTAAAAGGAGAATCGACCCACGCCACCTCTTCATCGGTTTCAAAGCTCCTTTCGACAGCACGAAAAAGAGCTGCCTCTATGCCGCGACGTCTGACGTCCCCGCAAAACTAATACGGCTGTGTAAACTGACGTTGAGCACCACTTAAAGCTTCGTCAATGTCCGGAAAGACCTCTCCGAGCCGTTCGACACCAAACGAGGTTTCAGAAAAGGCGCCGTTAGTTCTGCTTTCTCCAGACTGGACAAGGAAGCAAAACAAATGGGTCTGGAAGTGAACCAGGGCAAGACGAAATATCTCCAGTCATCAAGCAAACAGAACCAGCGTGAACACCACCAACAATGTCAGCCTGGAAATTAAACGCAGCATAACTCTTGCCACCAGGTTCTTCGGAGTGAGTACGCAATTGAGAAGCAAAGTCCTCTCTCGATGAACAAAAACCAAACTCCATAATTCCCGTCCTGCTATATGGTGCAGAGGTTTGGACAATAAGAAAAAAGAGAGAAAGTTCTGCGAAAGATTTATTGTTATTCGCTACGGCGAATATTGCATTCGATGCAACAATGAGCAGTATGAGATATATGACGACATTGACATAATTCAGCAAATTAAAAGACAGCCACTACGCTGGCTAGGTCATGTTGTCCGAATGGACGAAAACACTACAGCTCTGAAAGCATTTAACGCTGTACCCGTCGGAGGAAGCAGAGGAAGAGAAAGACCTCCACTCCCTTGGAAGGACCAGGTGGAGAAGGACCTGGCTG